GATGAAACAAGCAAGCATAGCTTCTAGATTCTGTTGGGCACTCCTTGTGCGAACACCAGATTGAATATCTCCGATGATCTGTTGAGGAGGATGATTCCTTAACCAACGAAGATTGTGTTGATTGGGATTGACTGGTTGATTTAGTTCAGCTTCTGGTTGAAGAACAGAAGTTGTTGGTGTTTCCGGATGGATTGGCACTGGGTCGCCATTTCCGGAATTGTCGCCGTTTGAATGATCCGGAATATTGGAAGGCTGGCCAAAATTTCCGGAGGGCTCAGCACTGTCTAAATCCGGATTTCTCTGTGAAGTCTTCAGAGGCAGACTTCTGAATGGAATGAACTCCGTGGGCTTCATTCTATCTCCTTCATTGACTTCTTCATCCTTGTCTGATAGATACAGAACCTCATGGTCATGCTTTGATGGCTTGTCAACCACATGTTTTTCATCAAAAATAACATGTATTGACTCTTTCGTGATCATGGTTCTTTTGTTGAAGACTCTGAATGCCTTGCTTACCATGGAATATCCTAGGAAGATGCCTCATCTGATTTCTCATCAAAAGTGTTCAGATGATTCTTCCCGTTGTTTAACACAAAGCACTTGCTCCCAAAAATATGGAAATATGATATATTAGGCTTTCTCCCGTTCCACAGTTCATAGGGAGTTTTGTTGTGCCTTTTATAAATCATAATCCTATTTTGAGTATAGCAGGCTGTGTTAACAGCTTCAGCCCAGAACCTCTTTGGTAAGGAAGCTTCTGCTAGCATGGTTCTCACTGCTTCCTTCAGGGTTCTGTTCCTTCTTTCAGCTACACCATTCTGTTGAGGTGTCCTTGCTGCGGATGTCTGATGAAGAATTCCGTTTTCTTCACAGTAGTGAATGATGATTTCATTCACGAATTCTGTGCCTTTGTCAGATCTGATCTTCTGAATGGTCTGACTTGCTTGGTTTTGAATCAGCTTCATGCAGTTGGTGAGTTTCCCTTGAGTCTCCTTCTTGCTGTTGAGGTAGATTGTCCGCGTGTATCTTGAGTAATCATCAACTACCACCAGGACATATTTCTTTCCACTTAGACTTATTGGTGTAACAGGGCCAAATAAATCCATGTGAATAAGACTTAATATCCTTGTAGTTGAGGGTGCCGATTTTGCCTTGAAGGTGGACTTGACTTGCTTTCCTTTTTGGCAAGCATCACAAATACTTTCCTTTCTAAATGCAGCTTTGGGAAGACCTTCTACTAACTCTTCTTTGGACAGCTTGTTGAGGGTTTTGAAGTTTAGATGACTCAACCTCTTATGCCAAAGCCATAGAAGGTTAGTGTCACCTTTGCTGATTATACATGCTTCCTTGACATCGCTCCATATCACTTCATAGATGTTTCTGATTCTCTTCCCAGTGAGAATGACTTCATTTGTGGAGATGTTCTTGAGAGATGCCATGTCCTTGCAGAATTCCAAGAAGTAACCTTTATCACAAAACTGACTTATGCTAAGAAGGTTATAATTGAGTCCTTCAACATAAGATACAGCTTGGATGGTTAGTCCCTTGTACACCAGATTTCCTAGCCCTTTAGTAAGGCCGAAATCATTGCTTCCTCCAAAAGTAACTCTTGGACCATCATAGGGAATTAGATTGTTCAAAAGGCTCGCATCACCCGTCATGTGTCTTGAACAGCCACTGTCTAAGTACCAGACACCTGGGTACTTAGCGGCTTCCTGCATTAGGAGGAGGAAGATTTTGGTACCCAATTAAGTTTGGGTCCGGAGTAGTTAATGGTGTGTGTCCCTACATCAAGTTTGAAGTTGCAGGGAATTTTCCTTGCAGCTCTAAACTTG